TTTAGCTTTTAGCTCTCTCTCTCTCTCTCTTTTTTTTTTAAAAAAAGATTTATTTATTATGTATATAGTGTTCTACCTGTATGACAGAAGATGACATCAGATTCCATTACAGATGGTTCTGAGCTACCATGTTGCTGGGAACTGAACTCAGGACCTCTGAAAGAAGTCAGTACTCTTCACCTCTGAGCCATCTCTCCAGTCCAGGACTTGTTTAATATAGTACCTATGACATGTAGCTCACCAGCCGACGTGAAGAGAATGCTCAGTATAAATAGGCAGATGATCAAACTGAACAGAGGCAAATGGGGAAGGCATTGCATGGTTTAGCTGTGTCTGACTTCCCCACAAATAACGAATTCTTGTCTCTGTGGACTGTTCTTGGCAGATGTCTTTTCTCTGCCTCTCACATCAAGAACAAAACTAGAATGCTAGCAGTCCTTTTTACTATGCTGGGATTTTAACTGAAAATAGATTTTTTTCTTCATATAGTATGTTCTGATCACTCTTTCTCTCCCTCACGTCCTCCTGGATCCTCCTCACCTCCTCACTCATCTGACACCATGACTTCTCTTTACAGAAGGATCAGTCAAATAAAACAACCAAACCAGAATAAAACAAAGAAAACAGACAGAGGGAAGGAAAAACATCAAAGAAAAATCATAAGAAACACATATACAGGTACACAAACATATACATACATGCACACACATGTAGACACATACTACACACATATACATGTAGACATACACACATTTAGATACATACATGCACACACACATACACATACATACACACATATATACACACAAATATACAAATGCACACATATGCATGTGTAGACACACACATGTAGATATATAACACATAGATATATACATGCACACACATACATACACACATGCACACACACATATACACATGCACACATGCATACAAACATACACACATGTAGACACATATAGATATACACATACATATGTAAACACACACATATGAGGGGGAGTGGGAAGAAAGAGAGAAAGAGAGATCCCATAAAAACACAAAAATTAAAATATTTAAGCCAAGGATCAATAAGGTTAAAAAAAATATTAAAACTGCCCAGGCAAGCATTATGAAAGAAAAGTCCCCTAAAATACCATTGAGTTGTTTTGAGCTGCCTGGGCATGGGTCTGCACTTACCTGAGGCTAGACATCAGCTTGCACTTACCTGAGGCTAGGCATGGGCCTACACTTACATGTGGTTTGTATACCCACTATCACACACATGTTCGTTACCAATTCCAGATGAGTGCGGAATCTGTAATAGTTTGCATGAAACCATGGTGAGGTACAGTGATCTGTGCATGCTGGCCTTTTTATCATGTTGTAAGCAGTACTCAAAGTTCACATGGAGTGGTTGGCCCTGATCAGAAACCCCAATGAAGCATTTGGATTCTAGTTCTCACTCATAAATCACTGTGTCCATGCAGCCTACCAAGTCACCATGTAGAGTGTGATGTTTTCTAAGTGGACTATTTACTTACTACTTATTTATTTGTATGTATGTATGTATGTATGTATGTATGTATGTATGTATGTATTTAGAGGGAGGGTTTTTCTGTGTAGCTCTGGCTGTCCTGGAACCTGCTCTGTAGATCAGGCTGGTCTTGAACTCATAGAGCAAAAGCCACCTGCCTCTGTCTCCAGAGTGCTGGGATCAAAGGTGTGTGCCACCACCACCTGGCTTCTCTTAGTTTAAAAAAGATTATAAATATATAGAACAGGATTAAAGAAAAATTAACATTGAAGATAACTACATACTTGTGTTGTGGTTAATGCTATTTTGTGGCTTTGCTATAGCCCCTTGGTTGTGTCTAAATATCTATTAGGGGTTTCTGTCCTGCTTCAGACCATATTGTTCCCAGATAAGATACAGACACCTTTCAATTTATAATAAGCTTAAAAGCCCTAGAGCTGCGCAGATACAGCCTTCTATGCTACTTTGTCTACTTCCCTGTGGCGTTCCCTGAGATACCACTTGTTGTTCTATCTGACCAGCTCTGACCGGCTCCTACTCCATCAGGCCAGCCCTCGTGGCTGTGAGCTCATGATCTACCTACCCCATGATGACTTCTTTCCTTCTCTCTGTTCCTCTCCTTCTCATCCCTGCCTAAGACCTAGCTCTGGAGCCTCTGCCCCGCCTCCCTCTCTTATGCCCAGTGGCAAGGTTTACACAACAAAAGCTAGTGTTCCTGAGATATGAGAGTCTCCCTATGGACGGAGAGGCACTATACATCTTGGGGCCATTATTTATCTTTGAATATGTTGTGGCGCCAGACCAGGCCATCCCGACACACTTGGTGTTGGCTGCTCTTTTTCTTTTCTTTTTTTTTTTTTTTTTTGCACATAGACATTTATGTCCTGGAGCAGAATTCTGTTTTGTCTCCATTAATTTTCAATGTTTGTGAGTCTAAGTTCTCACAGTATCATATGCTCTTGAGTCATTTGAGAGAGTAGAAACAGGGCCTTCATGAGTCCAGTGTGTTAAGCCTACTGTCCTATCCTTAGGCTGCCAAGCTTGATGGCGCAGAGAGATTCATACAGCCCTGCACAGTCAGTAACATGGACAGACTCTGAGCTTCATGCAGCCCTGAGTAACACTGACTTGCGGGGTCATACAGCCCTGCTCAGTAACACGGACTCGCAGTGGTTGCTGGGATTGTTGCAGCGTTCTCGGAAATTCATCCTTTCATTAAAGTCAAAATTTCTTTTTTTTTTTTTTTTTTAATTTTTTTATTGGATGTTTTATTTACATTTCATATGTTGTCCCCTTACCCCATCCCCCACCCACCCAGGAACCCCCAATCCCCTCACACCTCCTCCTTCTTCTTTGTGGATGTAACCTCTATCTACCCCCCCACTCCCACCTCCCCACCCTCAAAATTCCCACCCCCTGGGGCGTCCAGCCTTCATGAGGTCAAGGATCTCATCTTCCACCTATGCCCAGCAGGGCCCTCCACTCTTATATATTCAGCTAAGGCCCTGGATCCCTCCATAAGTGCTCCCAGGCTGGTGGTTTAGACCCTGGGAGCTGTGGTTGGTTGGTATTGTTGCTCTCCTCATGGGGCCACAAATCCTTTCAGCTCCTTCAGTCTTCACTCTAACTCCTCCATTGAGAACCCCATGATCACTTCAATGGCTAGTTGTGAGCATCTGCCTCTGAATATGTCAGACTCTTGAAGACCTCTGAGGAGACATCCATATCAGGCTCTTATCAGCATGCACTTCCTGACTTCCACATCAGCATCTACCTTTGGTGACTGCACATGGGATGGATACTCAGGTGGAAAGGTCTTCAGACGGCCCCTCCTTCAGTTTTTGTCCCTCGCTTTGTCTCCATATTTGCTCCCTTGAGTATTTTGTTGCTCCTTCTAAGAAGGACTGAATCACCCCCACTTGGTCTTCATTCTTTATGGACTTCATGTGGCCTGTGAGTTGCATCTTGGGCATTTTAAGGTTCTGGGCTAATATCCAATAATCAGTGAGTGAATACCATGTGTGTTCTTTTGTGATTGGCTTACCTCACTCAGTATGATAATTTCTAGTTCCATCCATTTACCTAGGAACCTCTCAAATTCATTGTTTTTAATAGCTGAGTAATACTCCATTGTGTAAATATACCACATTTTTTTAATCCATTCCTCAGTTGAAGGACATCTGGGTTCTTTCCAGCTCCTGGCTATTATAAATAAGGCTGCTATGAACATAGTTGAGCATATGTCCTTATTATATGTTCGAGCACCTTCTGGGTATATGCCTAGGAGTGGTATAGCTGGATCCTCGGGTAATGCTATGTCCAATTTTCTGAGGAAAAGTCAAAATTTCTTAATTCAAACTTATTTTAACAATGGACATTTTCAATTTTGTGCCTTCCAATAGGGTAAGTTGATAGCTAGATTTTACAACTTATTGTTTAAAATGTGATTAGTTGACTGGGGTAACTGAACGTTTAAGTTTTTGTTAACTTGATCTTTTGTAGCACACATGACTACTACACTGTACTGTGTATGCCCTGTCACCAGCACTTGCTCAATATTTGCTTTAAAGGTCAAGAGTTATGTGTGTGATGTTGTGTGTGAGCACGGGCCACGGCATGTGTGGAGGTCAGGGGACAGCTTACAGACGTTAGTGCTCTTCTTCCATTTTGAGGGTTCTGGGTATCAAACTTAGGTCCTCAGCCTTGGCAACGAGAGCCGTCACATATAGAGCTATCTCACCTACCCCAGGCAGGCATCAAATGATGAAAGTGAAACTGTCTGAAATACACACATAACACACACACACACACACACACACACACACACACACACCAGGACTGGGCTGCTGTTTCTGTAACACTATCTTTATAGCCTCCTCTCAACACATCTGCTAGCAGAGATGCTTAGAGGATCCTGCTATAGTCGCGTTGCTACTGTTTACTAATATTCAGTACACATATAAGATGTCAGTGCTGTACATATCATGCTGTTAGCATTTGCTAGCCTGTTTACTGTGATCAAGCTATGAGTAGACATTTAACAGAGAAAATACCTCACATTTTTATAAGTGTCGGATAAGTTAGCTATCACTTGGTCTCTGATGATCCTACTCTAGAAATAATGCTTCCAACCACTCCCTCAGACTTCTTGCTTCCAACCACTCCGTCAGACTTCCTGCTGTGTCATCTTGTTTCTGCAATTGGTCTTCCATTAATTCTGATTTTTAACATTTGAAATAAAGTGTTAGAGGGAACCAGGAATTGAAAAAAATGGTCTGTATGTTGGAAGGCAGAGCATGAGGTACCTACACATATCTTGGAAACATACTGATTTTCCTTTCTCTGGAGATGATGAAATGATGAAATGAGAATAGGATATGGTTACTACTACTGTTGTTATTATTTTACATTTCCTTTTTGTTTTTGTAATATTTACATATATTTTCAGACTATTTGTATTAATTCTACCATTTAAAACTTTCAGAAATTTCGGAGTACTTCTGTTGGTGCTGACGAGTATACATACGACCAGACGGGGAGGTAGGTCACCAGGAGATGCATATATATGACAGACTTTAAACATTTTTATTTTATTGTTTTATGCCTAAGGTGTTTTGCCTGCGTGTATGTCTGTGCACCATGGTCAAGATGGAGGTCAGAAGAGAGGGTCAGATCCCCTGGAACTGAAGTTACAGATGACTGTGAGGTGTCATGTGGGTTCTAGGAATCAAACCTGGGTCCTCTAAAGGAGTAGCCAGTGCTCTAACCACTGGGTCATCTTTACAGCTCCAAGACTCAGCCTTTTTTTTTTTTTTTTTTTAAAAAAAAAAAGTAAATGATTTCTAATTCTAAAAGTTAAAATATAAATAAAACATTTAAAAAGTTTCTACCATAGAAATTTGAGTCCCTCTAATCCTGTAAGTGGGACATTTTACACTTGCTCTTAGCCAAAAGGCCGAGAGGGGATAAGTAGGACATTTTAAAAGATCCTGTTTGTGAGTCATTTTTGCTCCAAGTCTCTTGAAGACCAAGGTGAATAACTGAACTCAGCAGAGAGGGATTCAGAAAGTATAGAGTTTATTAATGGCACCCTTCTATGGCTTATCCCACAGTGTAACCAAAACAAGCATTTCTGAGAGAATAAATTAAATAAAAAAAGACGTGATTCCTACCTATAATTAATTTTAAACAATTAGAAAAATCAATGGTTTTGTTTTATAAATTACGTCTTAAAAATAAGAGAAGAACTATTTGAGCAAAGATCTTCAGCCTTTTTTGGAATGAGCAAGACAGTCAACAGCAGGTGCTACTGCTGTCTTTGTAAAACTTTATTTGTAAAAGTGGACAGTGAGCCATTTGTCATGGGCATCACCCACAAGCCCCTGACTGGGAGTACCCTCACCGGGAATCCTTCTGCAGGTTTCCAAACAGGAAGTGGGCCAGTTTTCGGACACATGCTATGACGTCAGCTGTTAGAAGGTGGAGGTCGATGGTCAGGATCAAGCTCCAGGGCATTTACGGCTGGATACAAAGGAAACTGGCAAGCACAGGCTGAAGGGAAGCTCTGATGCTGTTTTTAGGACAAAAGTGGGAACTTCTGTCTAAGGCTGAATTCCCAAGATCTACTCAGAGTTCTCTGGCATGAATTTGCCCACCACATCGTGGACTTTTTCCTCACTTAAAGCCATCTGGTTTACAAGCCACGGTTAAAAAAATGTATATTGTACCAGCACTGACCTTTGGTTTGGACTCATTGCTTTTGCTGTATTCCGTATTTTGTCTGTAAAATAGTCAATATTTGTTAATGTTTGCGTGAAATACTGTTGACAGGAAGTTGCTTGGGAAGGGAGAAATGTCCAGTGAACTGACTGCTCTGTGTTTTCTCTTCACAGTGGTACATTTCAGTACACCCTGGAAGCCACCAAATCTCTCCGTCAGAAGCAGGGGGAGGGCCCCATGACCTACCTCAACAAAGGACAATTCTATGCTATAACACTCAGTGAGACTGGAGACAACAAATGCTTCCGACACCCCATCAGCAAAGTCAGGGTATGGGACACATTTCTCAAAATAAAAGTCCAGGATGGGCAAAGGGGTGGAGCTGCTCCCTCATGTACCTGCGGAATAGCATGGAAAATTTCAGAAAGTTTGCTGCAAGAGAGCCTATTGCTCATAGTTTATCATTTTAATCGGTAACCAATAAACCCCAGGGGAGCAACTTGGCTGAACATGCTTTTTCACTGTACCAAGGAATCCCTCTGGCTGCTTTCATGCTTGCAGGCTCTGTAGTTCTTTTCAGCTGATCTGTAGATCAGGGTGTGTGTGTGTGTGTGTGTGCGTGCGCATGCAGTGTAGCAGCGAGCATTTTCTGCCAAGTCTTGGACCATTTACAGCCCTTACAAGCCTTCTGCAGCCCCCTGCCTTACCCAGGATTCAAAAGGTGAGGTGTGATTCCCACCAGTGGTAGTTTTGAGGGATTTCAGATCCATGAGTATTAATTTCATTTGTGGGAAATGACATGAGTTGTCACTATCTGTCTGCTTTGGAAGCATGCCAGTACCCGGCATGCTTGCTACTGCCAACAGGGAGGTGACAGGTAGTTCATCTCTACTTCAAAAAAACCCAAAAAACCCAACCTCACAACAGAGTTAGAAAAGAGTTGGAGGACCTTCCTTCTTTGTTGCAATATAGATTTGCCTGCTCTCTTATGAACTGCTCCATGCCACTGTACCTGTGGTCCCCAACTCTGTCCAGAGTTACACCCTACTAAGTGCTTCAGCTTGAGAAGAAGGGAACCATGGCATGTCTAGAGCACAGTGTCCCACCACATATGGGTCAAGTTCCCAAGCAAGGTGAGCCCATTGGTGGTCAAAAGGTGCCCAGGGTACTGCCCATTGTGAGGAATATCATCATGTTCCAACCCTGTGGCCAGGACCATGGTGGAGGACGTACTGTATCAACAAGAAGGCACTGCATCAACGAGTCACACAGTGATGGTGTCTTCCTTGTGTCAGGGATTGCACACTGTTTTTAAATAATTAATAATAATAACAATGATAAAGCACATTGTTACAGTATGCAGAACATATACATAAGAAAACTTGGCTTTCAGGAGCTAATAAGTGAGGTAACTAAGATGGAAGAGATTGCTGGGGTAGGTACCAGCTTCTGGACTAACTCTTCTAGGCACAAGGGTGGGCTGTGTTGTGCCATGTTTGCCTGGGGGTCACTAGTCTGTGTGAGGCTTTGGGTTCCACCTCCAGCACCACCAAGAAAACCAAGTACAACTAGAAGCAGTGCTCTGTAGAGCTTCCTGGAGGGATGAAGAACGAGAGGTTTCCCCTCAGGTTTCAATCCAGATGTGGATATCTGGGAGAACACATGGTCTATAGTTTAATCATATGTGTAGGAGCGTCACACGGCTGTCACTCTGAAAAGGTGGCAGCCACTTAAGTGACATCAGTTTGGACTTCCCCAGTGGTTCCACTTTAGGGGGATCTTGGAAATCTTTTAATATGAAAATTTAAAACCGGTGTGGTGGTGTATGTCTTTAATTCCAGTACCGGGGAGGCTGAGACAGGCAGATACCTCAAAGTTTGAGACTAGCCTTGTGTATAAAGTGAGTTCCAGTAGAGCCAGGGTTGTTACACAATTTTCTGGAAAAATCAAAACCACACACACACACCCCAAAAACAAAAACAAAAACAACTGGTTAATATGGAAATTTTATCTCCTTTTGTTCCATTTTGCTGGAAATGTGATTTGAACAAGGCACGACACCTCATACCCTATCATTCTGGAGCCTGAGACAGGGTCATGGCCGCCTGCATTCCAGAATGACAGAGACTATATGTAAATCTATGCAAATGAGGTCAGTTTGTAATTTAGAACTGAAGTGAGGTTTAAATTCTTATTTCTGTGATATAGAATTGGCTGTTCATTTAAAGAACAGCTACATTTCGTTGAAGTGTATACCTGCCCTTGTACTCTTGGGTTACGAGTTATCTGACATTTGAAATATGTCAATGTGAGTCTATCTCCTAACATTTTCTGTATTTCCTGCATAATTCTCTTATTACCTGCTCCACTCCAGCTTGAGGTACTCCCTAGGGGAGAGATGGATGTCTGCTTCTGTATAAATGGCATCAATTCTGTGTAAGACAGAAAGTTTCAGACGTGTTTATTCCCAATGCAAACAAAATGCTTTTCAGTTTCAAGCTAACCCGGCAAAATAACAGCCATGCCAAAGGCTACTTCATCTGGTTGTCCTGGTGTTGTGGTAGGAATGATAAAGGGGTCTGTTTCTATCCATGCTATTTCCAGTGTGCATGTGCGTGTGTGTGTATGTGTGTAGGCATACATGTGCAAATACCTACACGCAAGATAGCTTCAGAAGTTGATTCTCTTCCTTCCACCCCATGTGTCTCAAAGATTTAGCTTAGGTCATCAGGCTTGGGACAAACATCTTAACTCCTTGAGGCATTTCTTTGCTGTATTCTCTAGACTTGAGGGTAGGAGAGTAGGGTTTCTCTGTGTAGCTCTGGCTGCCCTGAAGACTAAGCTGGCCTCAAACTCAGATCCTTCTGCCTCTGGCTTCTGAGTGCTGGGATTAAAGGCAGGAGCCACCATGCCTGGCTCTTAAACAATAAAAGCTACACACCACGTTAGCATTGCCGGAAGTGGAACCCTGCGAGGCAGTGGAGGATAATGGCTGCTTTTCTTTTCTGCAGAGTGTGGTGATGGTGGTCTTTAGTGAAGACAAAAACCGAGATGAACAGCTGAAATACTGGAAGTACTGGCACTCCCGGCAGCACACTGCCAAGCAGAGGGTCCTCGACATTGGTAAGTTACCTGTTCCTCTAAGCCTTTGGCAACTGGCTGAGTTGCCAAACCCAGCCCAGTACAGTGACCACTACAGAGGCTGTGTTGAACTCTGCTATGCAAGGCACTGAGTTGTACATGTAATCTGTGACATTTGGCACAGATCAAGCTGAAAATCAGTCAGGCTGAGCAGAGAAGAAAGCATTTTCCTTTCTACCAGATTCAACTTATAGAATAATATCGATAATGCCTTTGTAACACAATGGCAGTTTCTAAAATATTTGCATGCCTTGTGTTTGAGCCATATAGGCAGTAAGCAGGTCAGATAGAGTCTTGTCTCTTTCTGTATGGTAAAACTCAGGCCCATGAGGCTCAAGGCCCCTCACAAAGGTCACGAGACTCTAGTAACCTCTAGTTTATAGTTCTGTCCTAAATCCTTTCATTCCTACATAAACCTAATGTACATAAACCTAATGCAAGCAGAAGTTGGTGGTCAGGAAAATATCTGTCTGAGAAACTTGACTGCCAGTCAAGAAAAAATGAGCCTGCAGAGTTCATTTTGTTTATATTTCTAAACGCATTATCTGCTCTCTAGGGATCAAGGAGTCCTCTGGACAATCAAGGGTCCAGACAGAAAGGCAGATCCTATGCTACCTATCAACTAGCTTCTTGCCAAGGTTAGAAAGGATGGAGCTGGGAGGCATCCAGGCTCCTGTGGGGCTGGGGACTCAAAGGGGAACCACCCAGCAGGAACTTGGACCACAGAGGAAGCAGTTTTCCATTGGGAGGTGGAACCCCAGGGGAACTGCTGTCAGCCACAAGCTCAGTGCCAAAGGGGCGGAGAAGTGCCCAGGCTTTCCAAGGTCCCTGCCTGGGCTTCTCGATCGGACTCAAGGCTGGGGAGCACGGGATTCCTAAAGAGTTTGCAGGATCAGCTCCCTAGACACAGAGACGAGTAGGAGAAACTGGAGAGTAGATTTCAAATTTTCTAGAAATTTCTTGAAAGTATTGGCAGTATCTAGCAAACTTATTCTCATAAAGAATTCTTTTTCTCATAATTAAAGTCATAACCCGTTAGACTATGGCTGTGGTCCTCACGGATGTAGGCAGAACGCAGATTATCATTGGACGTCACAAAATATTAAGGCAGTAAAAGGACAAAAGGACACGTGCTTTCATGTCTTATACAGTGGAACAAAGGCTCTTTCCCTCACGGCAGCCTTGATAGCTCCCTGGGCCAATGGCGGAGATTAGCTAGTAATCTAGCTTAGTATTAGAGAGTCACCAGAGAACATTTTGAAACTAAATGTTGGTATAGCCTGCTGAATGGTTAAGCTACCCCCATTCCTTTCTCTTGCCCTCACACAGAGGGGTGGCTACACAGAAACACTAGCCAAATACTAATCTAATAAACAGGGAAACTGAGGCAAGGAACAGTGTCTCCATGTCAGGCAAGTTATCCTCAAAATCAGTTCAAGGGCTGGGATAAGAACTGTTTTCAAGCCAGTGTGCCGAAAGCCCGAGGCTGGAGCAAGGTACTAGGAAAACGTGCTCTGACCTGTTCTATAACCGTCTGTGTAGAACAGAGAAGCAATTTTATTTTATTTGAAAAGTTAGTCTTATAATTATTGCCCAAGAAAATGAGAGAAGCAATTAAATGGAAATATAGGCTCAGTTCAAATAAGGTAAGTAATAAAGGTACCTTGCTGGCATGCCTGTTCACCAGCTCCAGCAATGTTACAGGGTTACGTTTGCAGAGACTGGAGTAATTTCCCGCCTCTCTAGCCCTTCCAATAAATCTCTCTTTATTACCTCCCATTTGCCTCCATACTTTTCTCAGAGAGTCCCACCTGCATGCATATGTGAATGCAGAGTGTGTGTGCATGAACATGCGTGTGCACACACACACAAACACAAACATGCCTTGCTTGCACATACATGCATGCAGGCAAATCCCACATACACTTATACATGCAAAGCAAGCAAGTCTGACAACAAACACAAAGACAGTTCCCATCCAGGACCTAGAGACAGTGACCTTCAAGCTGAAATAAGAAACAGAGGTAGGGCCTCTTTAATTAAAGTTCATTGTATGTTAAAAAGAAAAGTGTATGTGTGTGGGCATGCATGGGTGTGTGTGCCAGTGTCCATGTGACAGATAGGCAGAAGGCACTTGTGAGAATTGGCTTTCTTTTCACCATGTGGTTTTCTGGAATTGAACTCGGGTCTTTAGGCTTGGGATCTGAGAGCCTTTACTGGCCATCTTGTTGACCTAGAGGTTTTTTGTTTTCTTTCTTCCTTCCTTCCTTCCTTCCTTCCTTCCTTCCTTCCTTCCTTCCTTTCTTTCATTCTTTTTTTTTTTTTAAATTTGAAACAAAGTTTCACTGCTGCTCTGTCTGTCCTGGAACTTAACTATATAAACCAGGCTGGCCTCAGATGTACAGGGATCTGCCTGCCTGTCTTGTACGTGCTAGAATTCTAAAGGTGTGGGCCACCATCTCAGCAAACTTTAGTTCTTAATCAGTGATCTTTTGAGTTGGGCATCCTAGGACTCACAGCCTCTAAGTTATACCTGCCACAGATGAGGCTGGTCATGAGTGTCTTCATCTCACTTTGTAGGGTGCTGGAATGACTAGTCCCTACCCCTGTTCTCTGTTCTCCACCTCCAATCCTATTCTGCCAGCGGCCACAGACCTTGCCCCTCCCACTAGGCCTTCCTTAGTAAGTACCCAGCATGCCCCTACACTCATGCCTAGGGATAGTCACTAGCTTACATTCTGTATGGAGGGAGAATGTTTTGCCTCTCCTTACACAAGCTTATTTTACTTGGACCAGGCCTCATTCTTTATGTGGAAAGGTGATTCGTACTTTCAAGGCTCAGAGAGACCCCAGGGGGCCAGTCTGTGGTTCCATGAGAAAGAAAAGGAACTCAGGGCCAGAACAAAGGGCAGGAGGCTGGCAGCTTGGGCCTAGGTTCCCAGATTCTGTTGTATTTTTTCAGTGAAGCTGATTCTTCATCGGCTACCCCTCTGCCCAGGGAACTCTTGGGATGAGCACTTGGGAACCTGTTCCCTTACTTCCTTCAAACGCCAGCAAGATCCCTGTCACTGTGTGTCTCACCACCCTGTCTCCATTGTCTTTATGTCATATCAGAACACGTATGACCAGCTCACCCGCTGTTCACTCATGTTTGTATTTCTGTGTCCTCTCTTTTTAGAAGGTAATCTCCCTGAGAGCAGAGCCTTGTCTTGGTTTGTTCCTTCCTCTGCTCTGTGCTTACCATAAGGCCAGAGATGTAGTGAATGTCTGAATCAATGCACGAGCTGATGCATTCATAAACTCTCAGACTGGTGGAGGGTAGGTCTGCAGGAGTGGACTGTACCTTACTGACAGCTACTCCCCGGGCACAGCCTCCTTTGCTACAAACTTAGGCATCATCCATTAACTTTAAAATATTCATCCTCGCCTGGTGATGTGCACACGCCTTTAATCCCAGCACTTGGGAGGCAGTGGCAGGTGGATCTCTGAGTTCAAGGCGAGCCTGGTTTACAGAGTGAGTTCCAGGACAGCCAGGACTACACAGAGAAACCCTGTCTTGAAAAACAAAACGAAACAAAACAAACAAACAAAACAAACAAAATCAACTTCAAAACAGCCATTGTGTTTCCTAAAAGCTGAGAAGGGAGATGGCAGAGAACTCCAGCTAAGTCTTGGCGTCTGTGGTTGGATGGAAACGTAATGCCTGAGGCTGCTCCTGCTCTGTGGTTCTGTGCTGTATCTCAGGGCCTGGCTGGCCCTTGTCTCTGGTCACATGTAGCACAGGGCGACAGAGGATGCCATCATTTGCCATGCAGGGCTGAGGACATGGTGCTGGGTTGTGTAGGTCTGGAGTGTCTGAGAGCCAGATCAGGTATGTGGTTCTTATACGTTAGTTTATAAACTGTTTGGGGTGGAACAGGAAGGGCTAACACTGAGTTCCAGCTCCCGAGAAGTCAGACAGACAAACACAGAGTTCTCCAACTGGCACAGCTCTTTCTGGAGCTCCTTGAATAATGGCAATTACTTCAGGTTGTAAATAAGTTTCCATTCTGCTGCTCAAAAGCATTCCGTGTCAGCTATGCCTCGCACATGGAGAAGCCATTTAAATCGTATCTGTCCTTTGAGTGTCTTTAAACCTCATTATATTAATTTAGTCACTGACGAGCCCATGTTTTTTCCACACCAGCTTGAGGAAATGCATGAGTACATTTATTCAGCTGATAGTTACAGAGCACCTTTTGTGGGCCAGGCCTTTTTCAGCCCTGGTGATTAAAATGTAATTAAGACAGGGCCTTACCCTTACATTACCCTCACCTAGATGCAAGAAGATGAACATCCAAGATGTTAAAAGGAGAGTTGTTTAGGGCAGATGTTTCTGAAGTGATACCAAGACCATGAGAGTCAAAAAGGAACTGAAGGAGCCTGCGAGCCAGGCAGTGGTACCTGCCCAGAGGAAAGGCCAAAAGTTTAAAAAAAATGATATTGGAAAACTACTTTATACACCTGTTAAGAAAGATAGAAGAGGCTCAAACTCTCAGGTGTGCTCGTGAGAGTGGGTTGATGGACCAATGCAACGAGCAGGGAAGGCAGGGGATACAGAGGATGTGCTGGGAAGGTGGGGAAGGTGGCTTTTTGAAGGAGATCCGTGGTGACAGGAGAGTGATGGATATGTGATCTGCAAATGGAACTGGCTGGTCTCCAGTTCTGAAGGGGCCCCTGAGTCAGGCTGTCTCCATGTCATACACACCGGAGTCTAATGGAGGTAGTTGGAACTGGAGAGCTTACCTTGAGGTCCACAGAACCTTGGGGAGCATGAGTGGACTCGGGATTTCTCCTTAGTTGTGGTACTTGATTTTGGAGGCATTGGATAAGAATTGTGAGTGTCTGTCAGAATTGTAATTGGAGAGTAAATTCTAGGCTAGCTTGAGGGGAAGGGACACAGGAGGAAAGACACTGGCAATTGGGAGGCCAGTGATGGGTAA